TTTTCACAGGGTATCTAATGAATAATTCCACATATTCCATCAGTTAGGTATACCCAGCAAAATAAGTAATCTTTTTTTTTCACAAAAAAAGTTCTACTTATCTGGATGATAAAGCTAATTGCTGAAGATTGTGCAAATAGATAAACTATGAAACACCCAGTGAAAATACAAGTAACAAACAATAAGACCACAAAGACATAAAAAAATACAACACTAGAATGTTTTTATTGAGGAAAAATAACAGTGCCTATTATATTTATGAATCAGTATGTCTATAATAAGGGTTAGACAAGTGTTCCATCATGAATATATTTCCTTTTTGAGATCACTTGGAGGCCCACTCATTTGTGTTCTCATAATATCATGTAGTGTTTCCATACTCTTCACTAGTTGTAATCTGACCTTTGGTATAGGTAGATATTATATATTCATTGTAAATCCTTTTTGATAGCTCTAAAATCAAAATATTTCCCATTACCCTTTAGCCATAAGCAAGGCCATAATAGTAACTCTGCTATTTGACTTGAAAATATCAATAAGTAGCTGAGAATTACAAAATAGGTATCAGATCAGGAAACTAAACTGTTGAATTCACCTTTTAATCCTTGAACCTTATGCTTGGCCACTAAATAGTCATTTCTGTGGAAGTACTATGCATTGGCATTGCTGAAATAACAATCAGCATTTCTGTATGTACATAAGAAGTGCTGACTTAGGTGTCGAATAGGATAAAACCTGTGCTGGCTGCAGTGTTCCATCATGAACATATTTATTTTCTTTCTTAGCTCACTTGTCATGTTTTTGAACTGTACACTGGAAGTATTGCTGTCTTTTCCATATATATATATAATATATTTATAGTGAACCGTTTTGCTAGCCCTAAAATCAGAACCTACAAGCTGTCATAACCAAAAAGATTCTTCACAAACATACCTAGATGACCTACTGCGTTATGTGTTTCCCAATTTTGAGCAGGATATTGAACATTTTTCTCCTCATTTCAGCCATAAGAGAAATTTTGTCAAAAATCCAGGAGAAATGAACATCGAAAGGGCACTTTTATTACCTCAGATCAATCCTCCATCTATATCATTTCAACTATTTTGTTTATTTGCTATTCGGCTTGGAAATAGAAATAACTACCTCACAGTTCGAAAACTGGAAGAACATTCAGATTTCCGAAGATTAATTTGTTTCAGGTTATTGATGATTGGAAATAGAAATTATATAAAAACGTAAGCAAAATACAAATGACAAATGAAAGCAAATACACTGTTGCCAAAATTTAGTTCACTTCTCCGTTTTCCATTGGCCAGGAGCGCCCAGGCGCCTCCTACTAGTTGCGCGCGCCGAACTGAATTGTTATTATCATCAAACAAAACAATTCAAACAAAACAATTCAAACAAAACAATTCAATCAAAACAATTCAAACAAAACAATTCAAACAATTTAATTCACCAATCTATATGGTGCAAAAAATTATCATCAAACAAATAAATTCAAACAAAACAATTCAAACAATTTAATTCACCAATCTATATGGTGCATGAAATTATCATCAAACAAATAAATTCCAACAAAACAATTCAAACAATTTAATTCACCAATCTATAAATGGTGTTCATGTAATAATCATCAAACAATTTAATTCACTAATTTGATGTTCAAGTAATTATTGTCAAACAAATGAATTCAAACAAATAAATTCAAACAATTTAATTCATCAACTCTATTGCTGGTCTTTCTTATGGATGAATTATTATGTTACATGAATTTATACGATTGATGATTGTTTTTGAACGAAATAAAATGTTTGACGAATATTTTTCATCGAACATTTCAAATCATTCATAATAATAGGCTCTCAGTAATATTCAACAATCAAAAAAATACCTGTCACCAGAATTGTTCAATTTTGAAGATTGATGAATTTAATTGTTCTCTATTTTTATGATTGTTGGTATAATTCCAACAATCACTTAAATTCAGAAATTTCTATTCACAACAAACAATTTAATTCTTCCATCCATTCAGTTGCACAACTTCGAAGGTATGTATTCTTTTGATTGATGAATTAAAATGTTACATGAATATGAACGATTGATGATATTTTTGCAACAATCGTTTTAAATAGATGAACGATTTAAAAAGATTGTTGTAAAAAAATCATCAAACAATTCTATTCATGATTGAAATATAAACGACAAACGAATACAATTATTTGTGGACAACATTATAACCGTCAAACAATTAAATTCAACAATCATTTTAATTCTGAATACAATTTTTTTGATTGATGAATACAAATGTTACATGAATTATTATGATTGATGCTATTTTGATGTTGGTCCTCAGAATTATAGGTATTCAAATGTTTGGTGGAAAAATTTCATGAAACAATTTAATTCATGAAACATGTGAAATGAACAAACAAATAAATCGAAATTTTTTTATCATGAATCATTAATATTTCCTTCAATGATTCATTCAATCAATTTTATTCAAGAATAAGATTCGTTCTCAACTCAAAGAAAATTACCAAAAAGAAGTATTTATTGTTTGAACCAAAAAATAAATTCATTTTAAATGTTATATGAAAATTTCCATGAAACATATTAATTCATGTTGCTATTTTATTTGGTCATTAATATTAATAGAAATCATTTAAGAGGAGTAATTAAATTGATTGTTGATTTCAAATGTTTATTGATAATTTTATTCGCCTTTCTCCATGATAAAGGATAGCATTTCACTTTAATATTAACCAAAATATTTATTATATAATTTTATTTCACCAAAACAGTTATTATCTGAATTTAAATGATTGTTATTTTTATGAATGATGAAAACAAAATCTTCCACATTAAATTTCTTCGTAACAAAATTTTGCCCAATCATTCTAGAAGTATAATGATTTAGTCATGTAATAAAAAGTAAAACGGCGTTCCATATACCCGCGATATTCGGCCCTGTTGTGGTTTGACTCCAAATGATCCTAGAAAGTTAAGGGCGATATATCTCCTGAACTTCAACAAAGATTCGGCGCCTGGTTCAGTAGACTTGAGTTTTTTCATTAGGATCCAACCATTCACTACCGATACATCTAACATACATGCCACCAAAGGCCAGTTCCATTTTCTCTGCCTGATACGTGTTCTGTACACAGCAACCAAAGAGTAGCTTATCAACCCCACCCATACTTTTATTGTAGCTTGATATCATTTTCAGCTGGGGAATATTTTTTTTGACTTTGAATGTCTATACCAATGAGAAGCACTTACAATATCATTTCCTTCAAAATTAGAGGCCACTTTATTGTCCTTTCATTGCACTAACAGTGAGATCGTTTTTGAAAAAACTATATTTACCTCTTTGGGCCTTTTTCTATGTCTTCTTATCAGATACTGGACACTGCTCTAATCTGTTTTTTTTGCGCAATATTTCTTGTTTGCTAAATGTGATAAGAGACGCAAACTAGTGAAGTAGTTGTCAAAATATAACTTGTGACCTTGATTTGGAGGTACTTCAACCCTTTGTAACAAAGACATTACTACATCACCTCCAATACCAAATTTTTTCTCTTGGGAAATATCTTTTCCTGTGTAGATTTCAAATCCATACATATATCCGCTACTTGAACAAAGTGCCCAGTTCTTGTATCCGAATCGGATCGGCTTACCACGAATGAATTGAGCTTAATGCTTTCCGTAGTAAGGCACCATGCTCTTATCAATCGAAATATTTTCGTCTAAACCACCATATTTCTTGAAATTGTGATTCAATTGGTTAATGAGCGGTCAGCTTGTAAAGTTGATCTTCTCTTATTATCTTACTATTATCGTTGAAATGTATAAATTTCAGGACTTTTTCAAATCTTTTCAATCTCATACTATTTTGGACGATTTTGGGAACGTCATTCTCACCTGACCAATACAGTCTTTTATTCGGATATTTACCATATCCCGATAATAATAGAATACCGAAAAATACATATAGTTCGTCAATTGTCATTTTGAGTTCTATATTTTTCTGCTATGCAAATCTGTTGCTCTCCTCTATTATCATCTCCAACAATTAATCGTCAAGCGAAAAAAATGTGATAACAAGCTTCTGTAACTCGAATAAGGGCAACAAGTCTTCGGGATCGGAGTCTTCTTGACTATCTAGCTCCAACGGAACAATTTGACACTGCTGACTCAGATTACCCCGTGGAAGGTGGTTGATATTATCAACATGTTCGTCATCCGAATCATTACTATCTACTCCTGTAGCATTTTCATCTTCAGGTGGTAGTATGTATACATTTGATTGAGGAATATCATCGCCTTCTTCTTCCAAAATGTCTACTAGTTCAGCCAGAGACAACCTAAAATATTCGAAAATATGAATATACCATAACGGGCAGCGTCCCTTCTGGGGGACGTGACATATATATCGACATAAGAGTGCTACTATTAGAAATGGAATGTGTGTATCAGGTTTTTTATATGTATAAGGACCTTCACCAAATGTCTACACTGAAATACAGATAAAAAGATAGCACTACTTTACATGAAAATACAATACCATTGCCATTGCTGGTAGACTATAAAGATGGATCCATTTTGTGTCTGCTGGAAAACAAAGTACTAGTCTGCTGAACGACTAATCGGCGAGACAGCGTTATACCCCCTCCAACTTGTTATGGCGCTACTTTCTAATTGGTCCCTTCAAAAGGACGCAGTCCACTAATGGGTTGAAAAACAAATTATGGAAACTTCTAGTTAACCTGGAGCCCTACTCCATAAGTGATTACCTTGAGGCAAACTTAGAATAAATTGTTTAGTCATTATTTTTATCTATTTTCATGTTTCTATATGTACTATATATTTTTGTGATGGTTTTAGAAGCCTATATTGTGTGACGCTCGTTTGTTTCTACAACCTTTTACAGGTCTAGTGTTTGTACTTTTCAAATAAAGATTATTATTATTATTATTAAAAAACGATAAAATTTCCAGGGCGCGCGCACAAGGAGATGTTGGGCACATTGGAGGAAAGCGTCCACATCACCGTAAACATCCTGCGCGAGAACATGCGCCTGATGGAGGAGCGCAAAGTGATCGAGATGCAGCGTGTGCAGCGCGGTTCCAAGCGGTTCAAGCCGTCCAACGAGATCGAGAGCAGCTGCAACATGTGCGATTTGAAGTTTTACGGCAAAATCCTCAGCCATCGCAGGTAAGAAGAATATACCGGGTAATTCAAATTCGAGGGCCGAAAATGGTATCCCGAAAACTATAGGAGATACGAATACACCCTTACGGAAAACAGTAATTTCTGTCACCACTTTTTGTGTCATAAAAGTCGCAGTGCGCATGTCCACGCGTGATTTGTATGCGCAGTTGCTCTGCTAGTAGGGCAGGTGTTTTGTTTACACTCCTTCGTTCTGTGATAGGAACACGGAGTATCACGATTTATTTATTGTGTCTAGTATTATTATTAAATTTTAAACAACTTATTTTTGATTGGTGGTATAATTATTGTGCTTCATAAACTTTACATGTGAGGTCATTGATTTCTCGCAGCTTCTGGTGATCCGTTTCACTTTTGAGTGCTATTGATATTACTGTAGAGAGGATAATGGCTGCCTACTGTTTTATTTGTAGCAAAAATTGTAGGACAGAGTACTTTTTTTTCAGATTTCCAAAAGATGAGCCAAGGTAAGAAAACGTGTATCCACAAATATCTATGATCTGTTTGTTATCCATTAACATTATTTATTTATTAGCATAGTATAAACACAGTGTGGTATGAACCCTGATGTTTAAATGTAAATTTCAATGTTTTCACTAGTGGTAGATGAGCTATGTATTTATTTATTTGAAGCCGGATCTATTCACATAAAATGCAGGGACTTCACAGCATTCCTGAGTGATGACGAGCGAGTGGTCATTGGCTTGTCATTGGCTCGTCCAAGCCTGAAACGCGCAAGTCTATGGGCATAATCTGTTTGTTATCCATTAACATTGATTATTTATTAGCATAGAATAGACACAGTCTGGTATGAACCCTGATGTTTAAATGTAAAAAATGTTTTTACGAGTGGTATAGTGTTGAGTGCATAGACAGGCTATTTATTTATTGTGAGCCGGACCTGTTCACATAAAATTCAGGGACTTCACAGCATTCCTCAGTGATGACAAGCGAGTCGTCATTGGCTTGACCAAGCCTGAAATGCGCAACTCTGTGTGTGGTGATATGTGCACTGGTCTGACAAAAAATAAACCTTGTGGACACCAACATCAAGCGTTCCGACACTAAGTGAAGTTACTGTTTTCCGTAAAGCTGTATACTGTGCTGAAATGCCGTCGAGAGAATGTTCAAATTCCGAGTATTTCCTAAGATAAAGGAAAAAAGAAAAAATTTGATGAATCCTATTTTATTTTTTCTGGCGTTATTTCTTGATGGATATCAAAATAGAGAGGACATCCATATTGCCACATATCCCTGCTATAAACATTTTCAGATTCACCATGCTATTATTATTAATGAAACTCCAATGTGGCGCCCATTAGAAGAAAAAATGGTGGCGTGAAGAAGATACGTCGGATAATGAATCTGAAAGTGTCATAGCATAGCAGGGAAAAAGTGTAGATGTAAAGGTGCTCTCAATTCTGATATTCTCCAACAAATAACGCAAGAAACGATTTACCAAAATTTCTGTTTTGTTTTCGTATATCTCCAGAAATGCTCGGAATTTGAAAAGCAGCATATTTGATCTCATAAATGCGCAACTTTTCCCGAATTCAGCCATCTTCGTAACTCCTATATTTTCTGGTGGCCATCAAATTGGAATAATTACCCTAATTGTCTTTCTTTTCCATGAGGTAAAAGTTTCCAAACTTCCTCGTTCTTTCTCAAACTGTCCACTTCAAAAAAACTGAAACAATTACTTTATTATTATTTGAATTTCCCCGGACTTTCTCGAACTATCTCAAACTGTCCACGTCAAAAATTCGAGGGGAATCATTGGCATCTTGGTAACCATAACAGATACAGTGTGTCCCAAAGTCTATTCTCACCATTGGGATTTCGGTAACTATGAGAGATAGAGAGTCTGTTAAATTACGAAAGTTTCAGCAAATTCAATGTTGATTCAGAATCCGTTAAGACCGACGATTCACGACAATCGCTATGCAGACCTATTTTCCAGCCCCATTTTCTGCCAAACGAAAAGTCCAAATGAAAAACGGTTTGGATGATCGTAAGGACGAAAGCTCAAGCTAGGAGTTAAAGTAATTTTCGAAATCAAACTCGTTTGTTGAAGAAAGCAGGCGATGACTGAAAAATGTAAACATTGGGAAATTTTGTGTCACAGATTTTAATGAAAATTGGTTTAACTCCTAGATACACTAAAATGCCATACCCTGCCCAAATTCTGGCTTCCAAAATCACACCGTTCCAAAGAAAACGGGAAAAAATCCAAAATTAACAATATGGCGTCGATAATTGGTGGCGACCTACATAAATCGTGTCTGAATTCAGGCCTATTCAGGGGTACATTAGTTCAGCTTTTGTCTTATAGATGGCGTTGCAAAATTTTGATTCTAATTATCATTATTAGATGGCGCTCAGAATAAAGAAGAATACAATGAAACATGTTGAGAATTTCACATTACGGAAAAATAATCACAGTCTTCTACCTGTTACTGGGTAACTCACTATAATTATGGTAAAAAAGTAATTAGTGCGATCACCTGAGGAATGAGGTGCGAGAGGGTGACGGCGGTAGGCAGAGAATTCAGAACCCCTTCCACGGCGAATCCGCAAGCATGTACCTATACGGGTGTTGATTTGGCCCGCTGGTTATTTTCATTTTACTTATCTCATCTTATCTATTTTTAGAACCACTTGGGCGCGGTGGTCAGGGTCAGTACGGGTGGTACGGTTATAAAATTGAAAGCATAGGGCATTTTAGGGTGAAATGAAACGCTATTTATATTCCAGGCAAACGTTGTTTTGCTATACACTTTGTCCCAGATTGGTGCTGTATGTATTGCTATCTCGGTTATTATAAGAGCTACACAGTCGTTCAAATGAGCAATGTTTCTCAGAATTCTATTACTATTTCAGAATTGCCATCAGATTTTTTCGATCATTTTCTGTTTTTGAAATAATTGCGAAAAACCAAAGTGGTGCGTTTTTGACAATCCCCTGTATCTCTCTGTTATTTGAAAACTTACGGCATTCTGGCTCAGACATTTCGTGAGCACTTTTTCAAGAACTTTTGAATAAAAAATAGAACAATGAAATATCTTCCTGCGTTTTCGAGATAATGACAGTAGCATTGTTTTTTCTTATGGAAATTTTCAGATTCGTTTATTTCTGATGTATTCGTTCAGAAGAATATGGTATGTTATAGTGATACATTTTTGAAAGGAGGATTGAAATTTCTATTTAATGCAATAAAAATACAATATGGTGCCCATATTATGAATGTCGTGAGCTCGGTCGTGAGTTTTCAAATAACGGAGATACAGGGGATGGTCAAAACGCAACATATTGGTTTTTCTCGATTATTTGAAAAACAAAATACTATCGAAAAAATCTGATGGTAGTTCTGAGATGGTTTCCTCAAAAAAATCGTATATCGACTATTATATCTTTATCACACAGCACACCCGCAACGGTAGGTAGTTTTCTATACCTAAATCATCGTCCACCAATATTCTAATATTGGTGGACGATGCCTAAATCATCTTATTATCTTCCATCATGATATAGTGTGAAAAAGCAGATAGAAAAATTTGGTTCAATATCATTTATTTTGAAATATGGAAGTATGGGAGATCGTGACATAAAAGTTCATAGACATATGAAGTATTAAAGAAATTCATAATTTTCAGAGTTTTAGATTCTGGATATTCATCTTTGGAAATGTCGGTATAGTAAAAACATTAATTATCGTTATTGAAGCGCTTTTGTCAGATTAAATGAAAAAAAAAATATCATTATGATTTTAATAACAACAAAATCTGCACGTTGTTACACATAACATTATGACAAAATTCAAGCAAACATTTCTCTCAAGCAAATAAAAAGGAGGCATTCAGCTCAGAAAAATAGTGGTGGAACATATTCTTCGAATCTGATACTCATCCGGTGCTTATGACACCTTTTGATAGATAAAACAAATTCTGATCATTTTGTTATTTCAATAGAACTTATCAAATATCAAGACAATCGAAGGAATTTTTTTTTCGAGAGGTGAATGATATCGAATTCATATTTTTTCAAGTCTTCAATATCCTGAATCTCTACTACGGTTCTTTGGAAAAATATACACAAGACCTCATTTTATATATCTTATCACTCCAATTTTTCAACATGAGGCTCTGCAATGATCATTAATTGATTAACTGGCGATTAATTACTGAGATTTATATATTGTAGGGTTCTTTTGAAAACATGGACCAATACTTTGAGTATTTTTTTGTAGGCCGACGGCGTTTTACTAATGACAATTTCAAGAGATATCTATCAATCAAATAAATAGGTGAATCATCAGATACTGTTATTTATATTTTTATTGATTTATTGATAAATTTTGCTGAGGTGACACTCTTCATATCCGAGCAAATATTTCGTAAACACTATATTGAATGAAAAAATATTCAATTTGATATTATATTATGATGAACAGTGCTTGTACAGAAAAAAAAAAATACTGATGATGTGCTACTGATTTGGAGTAGCAGATCATGATATCAGAATTATTTGCCTCCATAAGATGATATTTTCTGACGGAATAACTGAGACGACATCAATTGAAGAAAATTCGAAGAAAATCTGTTCAAAGTAAATAAATATTTCTCTAATCAATAATTTGTAGAGAAACATAATGGTGAATCCATTTTAATAGAAAACAAACGGGGAATTGGTGTGAAAATATATAAGTATTATTTTAGTCTTTGCAAATTCACTCTAGACATATACAGCAAAAAAACATCGCCGCGGCACGCGTTCGGTGTTCAGTCATTGGGGATCCAAAATAAGGCTTACCTGGAAAAAAGTCCGGAAGTTTTGAAACTTCGTAGGATTATAGTTTTGGGTGTCCAGAACTAAAATTCACAAAATGCACATTCCGGGACATGCCGCCGGCGCCGCCATCTTGCCAAGATGGCGCTCAAAAACGGTTTTTTGAAAATATCTCCAAAACGGTGCGTTTTCAGAAAAAA